AAAGAGGACAAAAACCCAACACGGGTGTAGTGTCGACACATAATTTTGGTGTCGACACCATACTGCAAGCATCAAGATTCCGACACGGACGTGGTGTTGACACACAATTTTGATGTCGACACCACACAGAAGGGCTAATTGACTCATGTAAATTTATGCCTTTCAAGTTGAAATGTTAATGGGTTTGGGGTACCCCTTATACTCCATTTTTTTAATAATAAATATTACTTTCTGCCGTTAAAAAAAAAAAAAACAATACATTCAGCGCAACACCTACTCCAAACCAAAATAACAGTGATCCCCTACAAGCATAATTAAAAAAGAAGTATGAACTTCCCTTTTTGGCCAAGAAACACAGAGACAAAAAAAGGAAGCACGATTAGCAGCTATTAAAAGCTACCAAATTTTCGAAGAAAAAACAAAAAAACAAATTAAAGTAACACATGACACTATCAAAAACCAAATTAAAATGAAACCCTGCATTTTCAAAAATCAAATTAAAATAAAGCCCCACATTTCGATTTGGGTGTCGGAAGCAACTGATTTGGGTCAACTCCAATTGTAGAATGCTCAGCTCCTAACTTTCTCAAACCTGCATTAAATATTTGAAATGGAAATCATAGCATAACACTCATTAATAAACTAAAATTTATAATAAATTTACCAAATTCTGCAACGACACCATTAAGGAGAAAATCCCACATCGAGTATAAAAATAAGAAACTTGTATGTTAAATATAAGGAGGGCTACTCCACATATTGTCAATTGGTTTTAGGTTGGATGCAAGCTTTGTGTTGAGTCCACATGCAGGATTTTCAACACGGTATCAGAGCCCAAGTTCTACCCTGGGAAGCCCGTTGTTAACCCACCTGACAGGATCCCCGTGTTAACCACGTGACAGGACCCAACATTCATAATGGGCCTGCACGTAAGGGGCGTGTTAAGTGGGAAAATCCCACATCAAGCATAAAAATAAAAAGCTTGTGGGTTAAATACAAGGAGGGCTACTCCACCTATTGCCAATTGGTTTTAGGTTGGATGCAAGCCTTGTGTTGAGCCTACATGCAGGATTTTCAATACTATATGAAATAACCCTCCTTGTATTTAACCCA